AAGGGAAAGATATCCCCATACCCAGGAACAAGGTATCCCATTTTATAGGTGCTTAATAGTGTCTTCTAATGACTTCTTGGCAACACTGGCTATTCTATGTGGGGATAACTCACAGACACCTCTAGCCCAGTGAAGGGAACTAACTATGCAGCAGTGATTTCCCAATTAATTGGGAGACCACTTGGGAGATATTGAGCCATCCCATCTCAATAGCTGTCCACGATACTTGTAGGTGTAGAATCTTGCATGCACACAGACCTCTCCATGACATTCAATAACTGCTCAATTGCGTTCATATTGGTGGAAAATTTGACAATATTCAGAATGCTCTGTAGCAATGAAAGTCACTTCTCTCATCGGATCTAATTCCTTACATATCACATGTATTCTCCGAAGAATATAAAAATCCAAGCCATGTCTCAAGTTTGTTAATAAAGAAATTGGTAGTGTATTCAAATTTGTTATCTGACCAATGGTGGGCATCTTAGGTGTGTATATAAATTACTAGAATTACTAGTGCCTGGGTAGAGCAGTTCTGAAGGCTGGTGCATGTGTGCTGAATTCATCCAATTACATGCTCTTCAAACCATTTCTGTCAACTTGGTGCATTATCCTGATGGAATAACGAACTGTTTTTGGAGAAGATACAGTCTTTGAATGGATGCAAATGTTCATGAAGCATTGCAACATAGAAGTCACCAGTCAATGAGTCAATTTAGTCAGGCAAGTGGACCCAACCCATGCACATGAACACACCCAACATCATAACAGAACTACCACCAGTCTGCACAGTACCTTGTTGAAAACTAGAGTCCTCCTGCATTGAGTGTGAATGTGATTTGAGCCAGTATCACTTATCTGTTGTAATATGTACAATTCTACCTAGATGCCTCTAATCAGGATCATTAAGGACCCATAGTCAGCTACTGCACTGTCCACAGTGGGCATTAATGCTTACTATCAGCTATTTCCAGTATGCATGAGACACCATAGATCTCAAATGTCCACATACATTTCAGAAATAGAATGTCCCATCTGTCTGGTACTCACTATCATGCTCCATTTTAATTCTGATAATTCATGTCACCTTGAGTAGATAAATGGCACACTGTCTCACCAAATATCACAACTGATGTAGGCCTGGGCATTGTCAAGATATTAAAGTATGGTGGTGCCAACTACAATTACCTTGACATAAGTCAAGGGATAGCAATGCATTGACTTTTGACATGCTAGTGCAGTCAGTTAAAACTTAATCAGTTTTGCAAGTACATGAGGTTTACAACCAAAATGTCGGTGAGGAATGAAAAATCTGATCAAAGTCTTAACATTATGCTGATATTTTATATTTTGCAATAATTTTGTACAATAATAATATGTTAGCAAAAGTTAATTCAGAAAACAGAATTACATTCACTATATTTTGATCATTTCCACTAATGAAAGCACATCAGTATTAAACAATCATAATTTTAAGTTCAATCAATCTGTATTTTAACTGGATAGAGAATAGATGCTTATGCAAAAATCTGAAACCTCTTAGATGTAGCTAATAGAAAGAAATGAACCTGATATCCATTTAGATATAGAAATGGTCATTAACTTATCATTCTGCATAAAGCAGCAATTTTTAAATTTGATATTTGAACCCTAGAGAGAGATACATACTTAGAACAGCTCTAAGCATATGCAATGGTTATCATGCAAGACTCTTTGACTCTTGGTAACAAGTTAATTTCTTCGGAATGCCTCATTATTGTTGTCTTGTACCTGACTAAGCTAATCTCAATAAATATATACTTTTTTCATATTGCTTTCATTTATATAAAGGAAAGCAAAAATATTATTTGCCTTGGTAATATTTATATTAGGATGATGTAGTTATCAACAGACAAATCTCAGCTCACTCATCACCATTAACTTTACTTATGCTATGCAATGCTGATTTAATCAGTTCTTTGTTAATTTTTGCATTGGATTGGTTGATTCCTCAGTAATATAATCTCACTCATGCTTCTTATAAAGACCACTACTGTTTACCCCAATGTAGTCTTTTTTCCAGTTGAATTCCTTTGTCCATTATTCAAGCATCTTTTTATTTCAATACAATTGTGAACAGACTAGTGTCTAGAAAACTCAAGATACATCAATTTACAAATAAAAAAAATATATATCAAACAATAGAAAATATTTCTGTCATTGATGGCATTTGAAAAGAAAGCTAGCAGCTTGTTAAATTTTAAAGACACAGTAATAAATATTAAATATGGCCATCATTTTCAAGCGAACAATGGATTTTAAAGAGAGTTAATAGAAATTATAATGAACAATTTTCAAACAATTTCCTTTCAAAAGTCATTGATGGATCCACAGATGCTGAGATAATTTATGCAAGTTGAGTGTTTTGGAGTAAATATAGAAATTTTTAAATAACTACAAATACAAAAGTAGTGAATTAATGTGAAAAGTTTCAATCTCACAATTTTATGATCAGATGAAAAAGAAAATATACTCTGCTTAAAAATATAAAACTGGTACAAACCAGGCAATCTTTTCCACAAAATGGCAATCTGCCTCTACCAAAACCAGCAGCTATAATGGAACCAGAATGAACCATTGGTCCTTCCTGAGAAATAAGCAAAATAAAAAATAAACATCAGAAAATTTAGGACAGAGTTAATTCAGTGATAGAATATTAAAAAATTCTTGAAGTGTCTTTTTTAACATATCATTATAATATTGTAATTAAAATCATATACAAAATTCTTTAGGTAATTCAGAATAGCAAAAAATATATAACAAAAATTTTGGAAGAATTCTTTTGAAAACTAATGAAAAATGTATTTGAATATTCAGAATAACAACACGAAATGTCTCAATGGATTTAACAATTAAAAATAGACAAGCCAAGAGAGGCTATTTCTAAGAGGGAAATTGTCTGAAAAAAAAAAAAAATTTATATAAAGATTTTGAAGATAAAATCAAACTCTCACATTTTTTTTTTCATAATAAATTTCTTTACATCCTTTTATTTTCCTTCCCCATGATAAAAATTAAAATACAAACATTTTCCTGCATTCTTTATTCTTTCTGTCCTTTATTTCTTGGCTTTCTAAGAGGAAATAAAAATGAACTACCATTGTTTTCTAGATTACTGAAGAGTCAAAATATTTAAAATTAAAATTTTAAAGATTTAAAATTTTTCACCTCATTTTATTCTTCTTATAAGTAAGCTGTTCCTCTTAATTCTTTCAAAGTACCAGTTGATTTGATCCAAAAGTGACTTATAAAATAAGGTTACCACAAATACATTGCAACATTAGTTTGTAAATATGCTCTAAGTAAATTTATAAAACTATTTATTTGCCACTGGAATAAAACTTCAAGATGCAAAAGAAATTTAAAATAAGATATGTATTACAAAATTTCCATAAGCATTTAGATATAATCTTCAAACTAATGAAGAATTTAGTGCAATATATTCCTGCTATAATATGTTGTGTCATAAGTCATTTCCATTTTTGGGAACCAATCATAATGATGTATATATATCATGCTAACATACAAGCCACATACAGCAAGAACAACACAGGAAAAAAATTGTTGGTCTGTTCTACCCAACAATTATCACTTTTTCAATCATTGCTTTGATGGGAAAAAATTTCTCAAATGAAAATCAGATTCAAGAGTTCATTAAAAACTTTTTCACATCAGAATCTGTGAAATTTTTCACAAAAGGTATCAAAGAGCTGTCTGATAAATGACATCAAATTATTGTAAAAAATGGTGAAATTATCTCATAATGTGAATATTAGCAGTTTCCTTAAAAGGAAATATTCACATTCATTGTTAGCATATTAATGATAATATGCTAACAAATGTCTATTTTACCACAGTCAAAGTATTTTTTAATATAATTTTGCAGTTTACTTTATCAAGAAAAATAACTGAAGGTGATGAAATATAGAGACAATTTATAATGGATAAAACACTTACCTTTCCACATAAAAGGCCTCCAAGAAGAGAAAGAATCACACCAAGCCCTTTGGCTATTAGAGTTCGTAACCTCAATAAACCTGGAATTTTTACTCCATTTAGGTATGCCTTTATTAAAGGAATACCACTGCCTGCTGCTTTTGGCTGAAAATAAAAATCCAATAAGTAATGCAAAAAAAAAAAAATACTAATTACTAAGCTGAACCTTGACTAGCACATGGCCACAATAACAGAGAACATGACACTATATTCTTGTGAAACTAGCTTGCTAGCTATTGCTTTAGACTGAGAACTCATAAGAAAACTTATTCTTTTATACACTATATCCCTTCCATACATGAATGATCATGGCTCTCCATAACTTCCTTTCTCTTATTGATTAAAGCAATGTCTGATTCTTTACCATCCCTTTTTGTCCCTGCTCTGCCAGCAATTCATGCAAACACATTAGGCAGGTTACTCGTTGTTTCTCTCTATCCATGCTGCTTTCAGTATATCCTGTGAGCGTAAAATTTTCCATGTCTTCTTTCCCCGAAAGAAAAATTTAAATTGTCACTTCCTTATTTTAAACATTTGTCCTTCTTCTTACCTATTTTATTTTGAACTTCCTTGTTTGTAACATGTTCTATCCATGGTATTTACAGCATCTATCTGTAGAATCACATCTGTCAATCTAAGTTTTCTTCATATGTAAAGGGATTGTGTCGAGCATTCACTGCCCAAGAGGAGGACTGATATTATATAACAGTTCAGCACTCTTTTCTTTGTTTAATGAAATTTTACTACATCTTAATACTTGCTTAGTTTCTGGAAGGTAACTTTTGTTATTCCAATGTGCCTTCAGATTTGTGTCACACTTTGTTACTCCACTAACTTAAGGTAGCAAAATTAAAACTTTAAAAAAGACAATTGTCAGCATGAATACATTGACATATCAAGCATTTAGTGTAAAGGAATTAAAGTAGATTTATTCCTTATCTAGTTCTGCGTCAAGCTAAACTAAGTTTAGTAATATTTTTTATGCTATTCTTCACCCAATAAATGGCCAAAGAGCGTACTGAATGGAGCTATCTTATAGATGTAAGAATTATAGATTATGAGTATATGTAGGATAGATAACAGTTGGCCTTGGACTTGATTTCAGTTGAAAATAGGGAAATTTTAACTCATTGTACATCAGTTTTAAAACACGAAAGATGAAATTAATTCTGCCAAATATGACTGACTTTTGTTTATATTATTTACAGTTGAACTAATGTCTTCATCTCTGTTGTCATTTTCACAATGTTTCAGTTGTTGTGCCCTATGCCTTTTTTCAGGTGTCTGTTAATCTTGTTAATAATCAGTGAATTTCCTATGGAACTGTTTATGGATTCTATGGGGTGTAGATTTTTCTCTTCCCAGTGTCCAAGCCACTTCCTAAAATCAATACTTCAATGACCAAACATCAAAAAACTCATTTGGAGAAGTGGGTTGAATTGAGAACTTTTCAGCCTCACCTTGTATATACTGGAAAAAACTTTTGTAGCATTTTTCAATAGGTGGCATTTGAACCTGTGATTTCATTTCACATGTAACTTAAAACATTTATAACACATATACATATTCTTTAAATATTTTTACATAGAACTATTCAACCACATTAGCATAATCTCCTTTCTTGTCAATACAATTAAGTCAGTGTTGAATTTAATCAAACATATTATACAGTAAAAATTTAATATTAGATTTACCAATCCATCCTTGCATGCATACCACACTCAATAAATATGTCAAATTCTTTGATCAATATCTTTCAGAAGAAAATCTGCAACTGATGCAATAGGTGTATTGTGGAATCTGAATCATCTTCTCTGTGCCATTTCCCTTAGGCAATCATGGCTCTCTATAACTTCTTGCTTTTAACTTAAACATTCCCACTTTCTGTTGCTCAATATATTAATATAAAAGGGCATAGTGTTTTGTAATGAGAAATAAATGTTTTTTTTTCATTCATTAGACTGCATCATATTGATGTATCTATCTATAGCTATATTCTAATTGTATAAAAATGGAATGAAGCAAAAAAGTAAAAATTACTTACAGCTGTATATGTTACAAGAGCTGAAGCTGCAATGGAGATTATCATGTTGAATCCAATCCATATCAAAGCAGGGATATACAAACAATTTTCTTCAACACATTTATCAATGACTGAAGAGAATTATTAAGGAAATGATTTCAAAAAAATTATTTAACAAATTCACAATAACCACTTTTATTGATTCTCATTGTTAGAATTTCCATTTTTATTATCTTTCTCATATAAGAAAACATACATGTGCAAACAAGATTTGTTAAATTTATTTACTTTTCTTTGAATACACTGATTCAAATTAATCCAGCGATGTATAAAATGGAGCTAGATCACAACAGAAAAGAATATATCAAATATTTACATGTGCTATTATTATTTAGTATGCCTATTAATTATTGTATACACACATTATGATACTGTTTCTAGTGGTGGAAGATATTTAATAGGTTTCTCAAGTCCACTAACTGTTATTCCTCTTTCCAGTATTAATTGGGTAGGGGGCTTCCATCCTAAGCTTTTGTTTAAAGTAGTGTAGAATGTCATTATTATGTTTTTCAGTTACATGTTTTACCCATTTTAGTTGTTGCCATTGTTGAAAACCCTCAAGAGATGTACTTTCTGATATTTGTTACAGATCTCTGTTTATGATTTTATAGTAGTAGTCCATGAGGTCCTCTCCAAGACTTACAGGGTTAATTCACTCAGTCATTTTTAACTATTGATCTGAGAAAATGGTTGTTTACAATTGACAGTTTAGACATTTCTGAATAGGTTGGGACCATGCATGATATCCATATGAAAGTTTTAATCTGACAAAACTATTTAAGAACATGACTTGATTCCTTATGTTAATTTATTGATTTTGTAGCATCTTGTGGTGTTGGACAAAAATACTGCCTTCTCTATATTCAATTTCCTTATCTCCTCAACCAAATTTTTTATAACTGATCCACACAACATGATACAAAATCTATGTTTTGATCAAAATTAAAAAAGCAAAGATAAAAACTATTTTATCTATTATTTTTCTCTTTTAAGTATATTGTTATCAAAATTGACATCTTCCCTATTTGTTAACCTTCAACTGGATACTTCAAATTTTATTACAGCAATAAAAACAGAAATATTAAAAGGACATTCATAACAAAAAAAAGAGGGGTGGCAAAAATATATATTACTGGAAGTTGGTAATACTGAAATATAATGATTCAGAACAACTAAACTGGTTTATCAGTCCTTTTTCATCAGAGCAAAAATCTAGGACAAAAAATGTCCACATTGACTAAAAAATATATAATCCCAGACTAATATTATATACAAACAAAAAATATAACATTAAAATCTAATTATAAATCCACCAACCACTCCTCCTGCTTACAGAGAGATGGTTGGTAGGGCTTATTGCATACTGATTGCAAAACTTTCAAGTGATAATTGGTATTATCCTTACTGTTAACATGGTTGTAATAAACTGTTGACATGGTTGTAATAAAAAGACTAAACAAAAGAATTCAATATTATGAAAATCTTTCATTTGCCTGATAGTACAAGTGAGGATATTGCTTGACAACCAGCCATGAGTTGTAGTTATTTTCCTTTAAGTAACTCTCAGGTGACTCTATTCGACTTGCTTGTGAATACCCAACATCTCCCCCTGTAAGAGACGCTCTTTCTCTGAACAACATGGCCTTGGTGGTGCTTGTATTAAAAAGGTATCACACAATATCACAAGTAACAGCATCAATTCCTCCACTCTGAACTTCCTCAATTGTATCTGATTCATATGTCTTTTATGTAGATACTCACTTCCCTTGATTATGTAAATTACTTTACTGACCTATTTATAGATTTCTTCCACTTTCCAATTCTGTCTGCCAGCTCAGTAACATGAAATAACACTGGTTCTTTCTTACAAAATGATTTTATTACTATATTATGTATCATAGAGCTCCCTGGCAGTATTTTATCAAATATGGTTATTTTGTAGTTGAACATTAGGTTCTATTGATGAAGCTCCACCAATAATGTTTGGATTAAGGCTTTGTCTATATGCAGCTAAAAACTGCTGCAATGTCTCTTCTTCTGTCTCTTCCTCTTGATTTTTTTCAGTGTTCTCTTAAAGATGTCAATGAATCTTTCTGCTTGTCTGTCCTAGAGTGGTATGGTTTATATTTCCAATCATTTGGCATTTTCAATATTCTTCAAAATTTGCTGAAGTAAACTGTGACCTGTTATCAGACTCTACTGTGTCTGGGTCCCAAATTTAAAGAACAATTCCCACAAGATAGTTATTGTCTCTGGGGGGTGTTACTTTCGTAGTGACCACAGGTTTATTTGAGCCGTCTTTTCCGACGTTAATGGAATATAGAAGCCACGAAACCCACTTGTTCCTTGGACGCTCTTCTAACAGTTAAGTCTGCAAATTTAAATTATATTTGCAAGTCTTCTTTTTTACTTATTGTGCATACGCTCTTTTCTGTACATTAAACACATTGAACATAATACTGCCGTCATGTTGCTTCTCTTTTTCAAGTGTTTTCGTCTTTAATTTTATGGAACTTAACTGCATTGGGGAAATGATTATGCCTTGCAAATATAATGATTTTGGACATCTCATTTAACCACCATAGAGAAAATTTCCTGCCCGCCATCAGCAAGGCGGATACTAGACTCCTGGAGAACAGCACACTGCACCTTCTTAGCCCCAAGTGGAACAACTACATCAAATCAATAGCTGCATCTACTGAAAGTTAAGTTGGTTCATTGTATCGTGCCAGAAGGTTTTTTTTTCTCGTCAGAATCCATCTTGCACATTTACAACACTACCATTTATTCCTCCTGCTACTGATCTTGACTTTCTTGATAAATTCCTAAGAAGTATCTGCAATTTAGTCGATCCTGTCTAGGTATCTCGACTTCAGTCATTTTCTCACGGACTTGTCGTATCTTCCCTCTGTCTTTTCTACAAATATTTTCCTGGCAACTGTTCTGACAAGCTTTTTTCCCTGGTGCCCCGACTACATGAATTTAAACATGCTACTAGATTGACATCTAGGTCTCACCATTTTAATGTTGAAATAATTCAATGTAACCACCACTTCTACTCAACAGTTTCTTTTCTCACACTTCCCAGTCGTGAAACTACATTCCTTTTACTTGCTTCACTGATTACAATCTTCATAACTTTAACTGCACCACCAATCATCATCTTCTATCTTTTTTAATCACGTTCAGCTTTTATCCTTTCCCCAATCCCCCTCTATTCATAGTCTTTTCTCTCACTTTCACTCTCTGTAATCTCTTGCGTACTAATGGCATTCCCACCTTAATTGGGGCGAAATGATTTAAAAAAATGAAATAAACTTGTTGAGAGAAGTCACTAATTGTAAGTGCCTAAATCAATTTTTCATTGTTAAAACAATTTTAAATCAAGTTTTTTGAAAAAAGACTTTTCTGAACTGTTCTTAAAAAAGAACGTTAAACATAACTTTGTTTTGTGGTAACAACAAAATTTTCTGAAAAAAGTTTTCCCTAACTATTCTTAAAGGGAACATAAAACATGAAAAAACAGCTTTTCTGAACTGTTCTTAAAAAGATTGTAAACTATAACTTTACTTCGTCACAAAAAAATTTAAAAAATCAACCTGAAAAAAATGGAAAATTTTAAAAGCTTAAAAGGGGTTAAAACCCCATCTTACCAGTAGGGAAAGTTACAAAAGAAAAATTAATGCAACATTAGAAATTCTAGAAAATGAAGAAAATTTAATAAAAGTCTATTTCGACAGACAACCATTATTAATTCATGACTGGCAAAAAGAAATAGTATCTTTAAACGATAAAACAGAAGACATTTGTAACAAAGCCAAAATAGACTTTAGAACATGTGGGTTAATAACAGACCAGATGCAATAAATGTTATACCTGTCGGAGATAAATAAACGACTTTCGATAAAGGAGTGATTTTTTGCGTCTATGACGTCTACTATAATTGGACAAGGAGGAGATATAATTACTACAATGACTAATATACAGTTTTATGCCTCCGCCTCCAAACTTCAATGTGCTACATTTAGCAGAAAAAGAAGAGCAAATAAAAATTTAAAATTTCTCTCACAGTCAAACAACTGAATGACATCTATAGGATTCAGAAAAGATATTCTTTTTTTTTTTAAAAATTAAACTAAACATAAGTACAAATTAAATATTTATTTAACGTAATTTGATTGGGTCCAATGAAATATCACATGGCATGACGTCGACTACGTCTGCTCAAATGACAAAAATTTTACCTAATTTTGGTACAATTGTGCCAAAATTTTAAAACCTTTTCTGGAGCCTATCACGTGACTTATATTACTTATATATAAACAACAAACAATTAATAAACAAGAGAAGTCAAATGTTGAAAAAAAACAAACTCATTTTTGACGACACTCATCAATTTTTTCAACTGAAATGAATATTATAAGTTAAAAATCTTTTTAACATAATTTGAGTCTATTGGTTACATTCAATGCAAACAAAACTTTTTTGTGAAATGTAATCTAGTCGTTGCACAGATTTTTTTTTTTCAAACAAACGTAAGTCAATTCACAAATTTTTTTTCCACGAACTGTTTATTTGTATTACAAATAAATATTACATTGAACTGAATTTTAAAAAAGAAAAAGGCAAGTTTACATCATTTTTAAACAACATTCATAACTATTGTTGAACATTTGTCATATAAAATCTTTTTTATTTATACAATTTCTCTTTTTTAAATTTATTTGTTTCTTTTTTGCTTTTTTTTTTTAGCATTTGTCTCAATATAAATTAGTGAGGGCAATCATCAGTTGACATGTATACGCTCAGGAAGCAGAAAAAACTAAAAAAATTGAAAAAGCTTTTTAACATGATACGCATTTAATTAATTTCCCATTAAACACTAAACTCTTGTTTGAAAAGTACCAATAAATATAATTAACTAACAGAATAATTTTTACATCCCATTCATTGTGGACGAAATTTTCAAAAAAAAAAAAATGCCATTTCAAAATATTTTTTAGGTG